AGAGTGAGTACAGCTATGAGTCAATACATACTATACACTATACAAGAGAACATACTATACACTATACAAGAGAACATACTATACACTATACAAGAGAACATACTATACACTATACAAGAGAATATACTACATACTAATACAGAGAAAACATCACTACACTATGGTTTACTACACAAACATTTGAACATTATAAATAGAATGTGACATACTACTTCTCGATACGACACTTCTTTGTGGTATCACTTTGTAACCAGAGTCTCCTGGAGGGAGAGCGGGCATTGTGTGTATAGATCTATATGGGACAGACACTTCCACATCCCGACTGCTAGTTACAGTCCCAGCCGAAAGGCTAAGGGGTGACAGAATGTTACCTCACCACATATGACACCGGAGGGTCATCAGTTATTCAGCCGTCGATCAGCATGGTTACATACGAGTTCACATCCAAACCTTTAATTAACCAATTAAGAATTTAAGGCAAAACAGACTCTCCGAGGCGTATTGTTCATTTAATACCACCTGGAGTCTGCATTTCATTTCTTTAGACTCTCCGAGGCATATTGTTCATTTAATACCACCTGGAGTCTACATTTCATTACTTTAGACTCCCCGAGGTGTACTGTACATTTAGTACTACCTGGAGTATGTATTTCATTACTTTGTGATTCTGTCACATACACATTTAAGTAAACTATATTTTCATAATGATAGTTTCACTGAGGAAAACTCTTACATTTACAAAAGAACAAACATACAAACAGTCGGGTCTTGGTAGAAGACTACATTTCAGTAGAAAATATAGGATTTTCTAGAGAGTTCTACTATTTACAATCATTTACGAACAAGCTATGAACATTTATATTACTTTGATTACAAACATTTTCATACAGGCAATGACACTAAATTCTTATGAACTCACCAGCGTTATGCTGATAAACTCTTTCAAAATAACTTGTATTCTCAGGTCATCAGTAGACAGGTACCAAAGAAGTTTTTGAGAAGATGGAGCACATACAAGACTCGTCTTTTATTTTGATAATTCATTTTTGGTGTCTTACACACTATATAGAACACGCTTGTATTAAAATTATTATATTAATGCAATGGATGTTGGTGCTTGTCTTTACTATTATGCATTGTTATGATATTGTACATGACGTCCTCCACCCCAGAACGTTTCCGCCGTTCCGGTTTTGGGGTGTGATAGATTGGTATCAGAGCACTGTTTATAGTGAATCAAGTATATCAACCCATAAAAGATATACGAACTATAAACGCATCGGGATTAAAACACTCTGACCAAGAATTTATACTTTTAAATAATAAAATATTTAATTAAGTATATATACATCTATTCATACAAGGGTAAATATCATACTAGATCAGAACAAAAGTATTACGATTGTTGAACAACACGATTAGGCTTAGAGACATATAGTCAAATCTAGGGGGATTTAGCCTGATCAACTATATTTTCCGAGGAGTGACTAGCATGTGCCTAAGAATGATGGTGGTGTTGCAACAAGTCTAAAAACTTACCAATAACACTACAACGAGAACATTAGAACATAACATAAACCTAAAATACTATAGGAGTATTTTGTATTACTATAATTACTTATGTGCAAACTAAAAAAAAGGATCTTCATTAGTACGTCTATTAACTATTCTTTTCCCCTATTCTCGCGTAGATAGCATGGCTGGCTTCCATCTTCCCGACGATCCGTATTATCCCAACCAAGGCATTGGTGAGTGGCTTGATGAGGAGCCAGAAGATGATCACCCAATCCCTTTGGATGATCACCTCGCAGAAGGCTTTTCGGATGGCTCCGACTCCGAACCAGAGGTCAACAACCTTCCCCAAGAGGTTCCAATTCCAAACCTCAACCCCCGTCCAGTAATTAACTAAGCCGTTCCCCGGCAACGGCGCCAAAAACTTGATGCGTGCAAATAGCTACACCTAATTTTAAATTTATAACCTAACTACTTAACTAACTAAAATGCACCTAGGCAGTGTACCTAGTCAAATTATAGAATAGTTTGGGTAAGTCGGGTGTCGATCATAGGGAACGGTTTTAATTAGCTAAAATAATTACTCTAAATTAATCTAAAATCAAACAATAATTAAAAATGTTTTTTATCCGATTTTGCAAGATCAGACTAACTTAACTCAAATTCAATCAATAATTAAAAACACTCATGTTTAGTTCGAATCCACTTCTTCTTTATGGTTAGCTAACAATTATGGATTATCAAGTTGGTTATTATTGTATTAGTAATTTAAGGCTAAACTTACCAATATTAAACTAATTCATGTAAAACTATGTATGGTCACATACAATCAAACACAGAACCAGTTATGGATTATGAATATGCTATGTAAGATTATGCAAACACAATTATGGTCATAATTTATGTTCTCTAGCACAGCTAAATTTAATTACTCTAATTACTATCTAGGATTGGTCAATCCTAGCTCTAGCAATTCAATGTTCACTAAATCACTAGGTTTCAAGTTCATGTAATTTAATAATCACTAAGCTACACAGAACATGAATTCAAGCAACACAAGCAAATTACCAACTAAGCAAATCCATTATCAATAAGCTAAATCATAAGTCAGAAGCTTCATCTAGCTAAACAAGAGTAGCTAGATTCAGCTGCCCATAGCAACAGATAAACAAACACAAATCATAATACAAGTCATAATGAATGTACCAAACAATTAAACTATTGATGTACTCTTCTTTTCCTTGGTGGTAAAAGCCTCTTCCAGAACTTCTTCTCCTCTCCAAATTGTCTCTAGGTCTGCCTTCTATCCACCAAAAATCCCACAAATCGTAATGGACTAAAGATATTTATAATCTGATTTTTCCAGGCTCACGTCGTGAGCAGATAATCCTCACGTCGTGAGTGCGAGATTAACGTATTCGACAAGGACTCTTCTTCATCCGGTGCATATATTCTAGAACACTCTACTCACGTCATGAGTCTTCAATTACTCACGTCGTGAGTACGTTTCTTTTGCTGAGTTTTAATTCTTCATTCCTTCAAGCCTCCAAAGTTCCATGCTTTGTCCATTTGGGTCCCTTTCTTCGAAAATGCTTCACTTTGGCTGCAAATAACAATTTATCTTTATAAGTACCATTATTTTATATAAATAACCAAATTATTCATAAAAATGTAATTAAATATTGCCTAAAAATATGTATAAATATGGCAATATCAGTCTTCAATCGTCACAGCATAACAGGTACCTCGTCACGTTGTGAGAACCAACACTTGGGAAACTTAATGGATTAAACCCTTAATCCATTAAGTTACGAACTTATCTCCTCCAAAAGGCTTCCTTACATCCCATAAGCCATAAAAATCGATGCTTTAAGGTTTTGCATGCCCCATGCAAGTCTTGAGCTCAAATTAGGACACTTATGAAGAAAAAGGAGGTCAAAACCTCAAGCATGAGCCTAAACTTCCACCAAACTTCAGATCTAGCATATTTAGCCACCAAAGGATTCCAATGACCCATAAAGCGGCCAACTTTATGGTATCCTAACACTCTATCTAACCTAAACATGGATAATCATGCATAAAAGTATAGATCTAGCAATAAGAAACCATAAAGCTTGAAGCTTGAATACTCACAAAGCTCTGGGGGAGTTGCTAGAAGATGGTAATAAGGCTTGCAAGCTGAATCTATGCTCCAAGATGATCCCTTCACCTTCAAGTCACCAAGACACCACTAAAGGCTCACGAACTCATAAATGGGGCTAAGGATTCGTTTGTAATGAGTGGAGGTTGAAGAGGATACCCTAGGTCATGAGTTAAGATCCTTAAATATGGAGAGACAAGCCCTCCTGGATACGCATTTCATTTTCAACGTGTCATGTCGTGACCTCCCTATGTCACGTCATGACACCCGGTTTTACCCAAAAACCATGCATTTGATTCCTTGATGGGCTGCAACCACTCTCACGACTTGACCATCCTCTTGTCACGTCGTGACAAGCCCTCTTGGATACGCATTTCATTTTCAACGTGTCATGTCGTGACCTCCCTATGGTCACGTCATGACACCCGGTTTTACCCAAAAACCATGCATTTGATTCCTTGATGCTCTAAACCGATATGTTTTGTAACCTGGGGTTATAATTTTCCCCTACTTAAATTCGATTTCGTCCTCGAAATTTGTTCTCGCTTCCACTCTGGAAGTAACCCCTTGAGGGTCCTTCAAACCCGACTCCTTCAATGCGGGCTGAGATCTCTTGAATGCCAACATCTGTAATCATCGCCAACAATGGTTCCAACCCAAGCTCATAAGCCAATCCAAGCAGAGACTCCAATGTCTAAATCACCTCTATTGCAACATCTTTTAAACAGGCAACCTCTCCCGATAATTATGCCAACCTTAAATTTTCGTGAAACCACACGACCTGAAGAAAACGTCTTCACAGGACATCCTTAAACCATGACGGGAAGAACCCACTTCCTTATCCGTATCATGCAAATCCTGAAGTCTTACACAACCTTCAACTATTGAACAATTAACATCCGGTCTCTGTGCCTCCAGGTTAATTCTAATTAATCTCAAATTAATTCTTATTAATTTCGATTAATTTCTAGTTAGTTTCTAACTAGTTTATTAATAAATCAATTAACTAATTATCTCATTCTCTTAATTCTTTTTCTAGCTATTTTAGCTACCCAAAAAAGAAAAGATTTTGTTATTATTCCAAAGTTATACCAATTAGGTTATAACATTTGATACTTATTTCCAACAACTTGGTCTCCGGCTAGTTCAATAGAAGAGCATGAAACTAATCTTGAGTTCAGATGAGTTCAAATCGAACTCGTTTAACTCAAACTCAAGTCGAAACTTTTACGGTCCTATATACCTCAAGTCGATTACACCCATATTCTCATCTCATTACAAAATTTAAATACCCTGGGCAACCTCAAGTCAGTTTACACCCATATTCTCATCCTATCACAAAACATAAAGCACATCTTGATATCAAGATAACCCTGAGGAAACATTTTAGTCATTACGTATGTCCGTCAGTCCATGTCACCAAAAACACGGATTCTTTACCAAATTCTAATGCATCTGTAGTCCCTTTCTAGAAACTGACATGTCAAGCCACCTTCCTCCGCAGTCCAACGGGGTGGCGCCAAAATTCATACCCTTTTCCAGAAACACCAATGAACAGTTTCTGTTTACGTCACCCCCAAAATAGTAATTTCAATTTTCAAATACCACCCGTCAAATAACGTCGGCTTCCGCAGGTCCACAGCGGTCCGCCATAACTGACCGCCACTAACAACCTCCCAACTCCTAATTAACCCCACTACAAAGCTGATTGCATTCATTTCGTTATAGAAATCAATGGAGCTGCAGACCAATTTGGAAGAAGATGCTGACTTAAATGATATTACGAAGAAGAAGAATAAGAGAAGCAGCAAATCATTGATTATGAAGAAATTAAGTTGTTTCAGATCATCAGACTATGGACACCCGACGATCGAGGCAGTCGACAGCCACGGTAACGTCGATATGGAATCGGCTTCCACAGTCACAGATAAAGATCATTGTCCGACTCACCTAGTTGTTATGGTCAATGGCCTAATTGGCAGGTTAGTGCTTATCTAATCTATTTTGGCTAATTGCACACAAATCCTAAAAATAGAAGAAGCACGCTTTTGTGCTTTTACTGTAGAACGTGCTCAAAACTAGTTAAGGAACTACTTGGCATTTCAAATTAATCTGTGGAAACATTCATGATTTTGTACAATCCTAACCCTAATACTGCAGTGCTCGGAATTGGAGATTTGCTGCAAAACAATTCTTAAAGAAGTATCCCAAGGATCTTATTGTTCACTGTAAGCATTTCTATAGTGCTCCTCTCCTCTTTCAGAAGATATTTCTCAGTTCTGCATACCAAATATTTATGAAGTTGTATTATTGGTATTAGCATTTTTATTTACCATACTATATCTTGTGTATGGATATGCTCTACAGGCAGCAGACGTAACTCTGCACTAGCAACACTTGATGGAATTGATGTGATGGGAAGCAGATTAGCAGATGAGGTTCTTTTTTAGGGTTAAATGCAAGACCTAGAAATATTTATTTTATTTGTACATTTATTTCTGCTATGACAATGACAGCATTGTAGTTTGAAGTAAAAGTGGTGGTTTTGGTTGCAGGTGATATCTGTGATCGCACGCAATCCTAATGTTGAAAAGATTTCATTTATAGGTCACTCACTTGGTGGCCTAATATCAAGATATGCTATTGCTAAGCTCTACACACAGAATCAAGACAGATGTGGGAAAATTGCTGAAATTGAGGCTATTAACTTTATTACAGTTGCGACTCCACACCTTGGTTCAAGAGGGCATAGACAGGTTTGTAAATTGAGGGATTATGAGTGAGTTTGTTTGGAAATAGTTGATGGAATTTTGTTAGTGGTTTCAGGTCCCAATGTTCTGTGGAGTTAGAGGCCTTGAGAAAGTAGGGTACCACAGTTCAGTGGTGGTTAGAAGAACAGGGAGACATCTGTACTTGAAAGACAAGGCTAATGGACAGACCCCTCTCTTGGTTCAGATGGTCAATGATTCAGAAGACCTAAAGTTCATGTAAGCCTTTTTGTCCCCTTGACATTCAGCAGCTAAACACAGTAAGTAGAAAAGAAGGAGAATTTGCATGAATTTGTGCTTCATTTTGTAGATCCGCATTGCAGTCCTTCAAACGCCGTGTTGTTTATGCAAATGTCCATTCTGACCGTATCCTAATTACTAATTTTTTCCTGATAAAATCTAGCATTAAGTTTCGGATGGTTTTTTTGCCTTAACTCAAACACTTGAAATAGATCTTGTGGGATGGAGCACATCATCAATCCGTCATCAGATTCAGCTGCCTAAGGTAAAAAAAAATAAAAAAAATACTACTGGGTATAGTGTAATTAATTTATCTCACTATTTTTTTTTTATAGATTAAAAATCTTGTGAGAAGTGGTAGATATCCCCATATTCTCAAGGAAGATGCAGAAAATATCACAAAACAAGAAACCTCTCTGGACCCACAACCCAAAACCCACAAGACTAAGACAGCCACTGCCACTGCCACCATGGAAGGTACCAATTCATTATTATTCAACTGCTGACTTATGAATTCTAATACCATCAATTAAAAATATGCAGAAATGATGATTAAGGGATTGAGTAAAATAAGCTGGGAACGGGTTGATGTCAGCTTTAAAGGAAGTAAGCAAAGATACCTTGCACACAATACAATCCAGGCAAGCATCACATATGTTTCTTTACATTTCAATCTCTTTCTTTATTATTATTATTATTATTATTGTTGTTGTTGTTCAAACTTAAAATAAAATTTCCGGTGGGGTATAAATTATAATTTATTAAATCTAATCTTCCATAATAAACCCATATCCTGATGTCTATCTCTATGTAGAGAAAAAGAATCGGTCTTTTAATCTTTCCATGGATGTTTCAACTGTTTTGATAGAGTTTAAACATATCAAATAGTATGTTTAAAAAAAACGAAAAAGACTAGTGCTTTTATTTAATCTTGAAAATGGTGATTTCACCCATTGACCAAAAAGGTAAAAAGTTCATGCCACAGAGATGGAAAAGCAAAAGGATTCCTTTTTTTAACCAAATCCAAAAGGATTACTTTCTTCCTGGAATCATGGTAGAACGACCAAATTAGGTATTAAAATTTGACGAAGATAAACTCTTTCAACTCAAAAACGTAAAATTTTTATTGTCTATACATCTTTGTTTCTTTTCACAACAATACAATATAACAATATAAATAAATATATACTATTACAATAAAAAATAATAAATTCAATTATTTATAATACACTCTAAACAAAAAAACAATTGGATATATTTTTATAACTTTTATCATTGAAATCCATGTCATAATTCTTCCCAACCTAATGCAGAACAGATTATGATGATTGCTTTAGATCCAAATTTATTTAAATTCCAATATCATTTTTTCCAAAAACATTCTATTTTATAAACCAAATGACTCCCTATTGACATGACAATACAAAACAGAACACAACAGAACACGCGTTCAATTATGACTACAAATTGTGTCAAAACTCAAAAGGTGTGATTCGCTTTTGATCTCTCGTATGTGTAAAAAGACGTAACCGCCCTCTTTGTCCCCTTTATCGAAAATAGCCTAAAAAGTTTGCTCACAAACTCAAATATGAGGAACAAACTAACTGCCATGTTTCTGAATCCTTTTGTTTGTTTGTTTAATTATTGGCACTGGCAGGTAAATACCCCGTGGATGAATTCTGATGGGGCAGACGTCATACAACACATGGTTGATAATTTTTTGGTGTAGATTCCTTAGGAACCAACATGTATCATGTATGTATCATTCCTCCCTACCATTCTTATCCATATCCATATATTCATCTAACTTAACTTCTATATATCATTTTCACAACTTTAATATTTTTGTATAAGTTATTTAATTTTCAGAAAAATATTGATTGCAGTAGGATATTATCTTGAAATGCAGTGTAGAAATGAATACACCAAAAACGTGCAGGTTTTGTGGAGTGGTATGCACCCGTGTGGTTACGAAAGAATGATATAACATCACACAAACACAAAATCAAAATACAAATCATTATAATTTGAATTTAAGACAATCGTATGAAATAGAATGACGAGTTGTTGTCACAATTTTGTTGACCTAGTAGTTTAGAGGAATAAGGTTAAGTGATGATGACTCACTCTTACCTACTTTTGGCATTAGAGTTTTGTTCTTGTATTATTTAAATTTATATTACATGTTTAACTAGTTACTTTCTTTTGACAATTACTTAACCTCTTTCTGGCCTCTTGCGCTGTGTAGACAGCGCGCAGACATGGACCTATCTCTGCAAAATGTTTGTTTTTTAGTTGACCTAAAAATGTTTACGTGCCCTCTTCTTGATGCAGACATGGACCTATCTCTTCTAGCATATTGTTACCTCTTCTTACTTCTCTCATTATATATATATATATATATATATATATATATATATATATATAGAGAGAGAGAGAGAGAGAGAGAGAGAGAATCAATGGCGAACTCTTTTGACGGAGGGAACCAACGAACCAACAATACAAAATTTCGATTTTTGTGGCTAGAGATGCGTCGAACAACACTTCAACCTCTTCAAATCGACGCAGGGCAGTGCCAATGCTTCGAAGCGATTGAACGTAAGCAAGATTGAAAAGTAAACTTTAAAAAAAAAAATTATGCATTTGATTGATGCATTGCTTTGTTTTTCTATTTGTTTCATTGAAACCTAATTACTAAATCATTGTTCGATTATAGAGATTGAAATTTTATTAATTTGAAGTAAACTTTAAAAAATATCGTATGCATTTGATTGATGTATTATTTTTTACTTTTTTTTTTTTTGTGGAATTACTTGATTCTTGAATTCTTTCTGTTTTGTTTCTGCATATATCTCAAGACCAAGAAAGTATACACTTATATGATGTTACTATATCAAGATTGTCCTCGTACAATTTCTTGGTTCTCTGTATCTACTCATTTTTTTTTTTAAAAGATGGATATGTTATGAACATGAAGATGAAGTTTAAAATATTACAAATGGTTGGTATGATTTTGATTCTGATGACGGGATGATAATTTGAAAGTCTTTCTTTAATCTGCTAAATCTGTTATCTTGTCCAACCATATCCTCCTGGTGTGTTGTATTTCTATTTTTCCCGACAATTTTAGTTACATTTATTGTCATCTTGATGACTTTTGGTCTAAATGTTTTACAATAGATTAAGTATTATCATTTTTTTTTCATTTAAAATGATTTTCATGTCTAATAAATATAACATATTCTGAGGCTTTAACATGTTAACATTATCTTGCTTTTGATCACCTTAATACAATGGTTTTTAAAGAAAGGTGACCTTTTTCTTATCACATCTAATAAGCTTTATACCATGGTTTTAAAGTTGAAGGTGGATTTTACTCTTATTACCATTGGTCACCAATTGGAACAATAGTGAAATAAAGTAGGTTGTTATTTCTAGCATTTAACCCTTTTTTGTCATTATTTAACTTTTATTAGTTAACTGAACCTATTTCAATGTCAATAAACTAGCCATTTTATAGGTTATGGGTATGTGGCATGATCCGGGTAGAAATTTACATACAACGGTCTAAACGAAACACTTAACTAGGGGAAAATAAAATGAAGGGGACAAATTAATCAACCAGAGCACCACCATGTGATCCACCTGGAGCATTTACATGATGAGTAACTTGTGAAAATTAAAGTTTAAATATGAGGTTTGCCCATATTCTCCATAACATAAACAATGTAGAGAACCAATAAAGTTCCTGAATAGTATTTGAGATATTGAATTTGTTTAAATTTGTTTATATTATATTTCTTATATATCTTGGAACATAATAGGGTTTATTAACTACTCTCACAAAAACCATCACTATGTAACAGTATCAATCTCTCAAATACTATTCAAAAAGCTAAATTGTCAGGTCCTTGTTGATTTGCGCTGAGGCATATCTCTTATGTCATTTTGTAGAAATTTCAAATTACAACATTATTTAAACATCAATATATAATGAGTAGAATTATATAAAAATATTAATTTATATTGAAAGCATATAAAAGCAACTTATTATAAACCTAGTGAGGAAGTATTGTAGTGCCTGGACAGGTAATTTGTTCAATTTCTAATTGCTCTTTATTAAATAGCCAACAACATTTTTAAACAAAGTGGTAAAATGACCATTCACTCACATTTAGACGGTTCATTCAGTTATCGAAATCCTATATACACAATCCTATACCATACTAATTTCTCAAAATATAACTTCAAAAACAATAAACAATTGCACCTTCATCATTGAATCATTGAACTGTAATCTCCGGTTGTCCATTTAAACTTGTGCAGGCCTGGCTTCTTCAAGACATGAAAACTGAATAGAAACACAAAAATGCCAATCTTGCCTGAATATAACCAAAAACCTTTACAATATTCAGTTTCGTTAGTAGGTAAATGTACCAGCTCTATATTAATATGCATATATGCATATAAATGTATACATATTCATATAAGTATATGCACACACACACATATATATATATATATATATATATATATATATATATATATATATATATATATATATATATATATATATATATATATATATATATATATATATAGGAGTAGGATCAAATGAGAACACCTAAAAGGTTGAAAACACGAGAACACATCTGAACCATTTAAAAAACTAAATCTAAGGCTATTATCGAATGAGCCATTTATGTAAATTCTTAAAATTACAGGAATTAAAGTGTAACTTTAAAACTGTCATAAGGGTAAAATGGTAATTGATTGTTTACCTATGTTTAGCAATTCCTACAATCTCTCTCTCTCTCTCTCTCCCTCTATATCCCTGCTTCTGCATTTTTCACAACCCTAGGGCCTCCTCTCATTCCAGCCGCCGTTGGGCGTGAAGAAGCAGCGAAGTTTTGCTCATCTCTTCCGGCTGTGAGGTATGAGTCGTCGGTCTTGGTGGGTGTTTTGCTCCAGTCGATAGAAGATGAGCGGATGGGTCTTCGGTTTCTTGCCTGATCGAAGGGACGAAGATGAACGGAAGCAGCCGGCTAACAGGTAACCTTATTGTTTCGTTTTTTTTTGTTTGTGTCGACTTGTATCGATGATGAACTGGGATGTTTTCTTTTGATTGTTTTGTTGTTGATGAATGTTTGGGTTGAGGCTGATTTGTTTAAATGGTCCAAACAAGTGGTTGGATCCGATTCTTGGTTGATTAATGGGTAGAAAGAAGCACCATTTGTGCTCTTGCTGTCGAGGGGAGAAGAAAGAGGAAGGCAACTGGGTTGCCGGCTACTGTTACAACATTCAATGGGGTGTTTGGTTGATTTGTTTGGACAAGGAAGGAAGAAGCCAAGGGAAGAGTTAAACGAATTCAGTTTATATTTCGATGTACTTTTATTTGTTCTTGAAGATCAAAGAAAATCTGGCCATATCAATTTTTAGATGTGAAGGACGTGATTTTGATTGTACCAAATTGATTGTGAATTGAAATGGCGCCTGTGTGTAAAATTGGGTGAAGAAATAGTCCAAGCATAAGAAAGAGTGCAAGGTTGTGTTAGCCAATTGGTGTGTATATTTAGTGATTTGGTTTACTGGATGATATATAATTGGATTTCTTTGTATTAATCTTTGCTTGAGTGTTCAGGAGGTAGAATGGTTGCAATGGGAGGACCAACTGGAAAAATTTCTGAAGAACAGAGGCAAGAAAGAAACACAATCCTAATTTTCGAATTTTTTGGTAATAATTTCTTGAAGGGGGTGCGTGAATGGTTGTATTTATTTATGAATAACACGTGTATTCATTTATGAATAACATTGTAGTTATGTGTGAATGGTTGTATTCATTTATGAATAGCACGTGTATTCATTTATGATAGAATGTGTATTAATTTATAAATAAAGTGTATTCATTTGTGAATTGCAATGTATTCGTGTGTGAATGATTGTATTTATTTATGAATAGTAGTGTATTCATGTGAATGAGTGTATTTATTTATGATTAGAGGTATTCATTTTATGAAAAAATGATAATTTTTACACTATTTTTTATTTTCAATTTATGAAAAATGCATTGAATTATTTGTAATTTGATGTGTTTTCATTTATGATTGGAAGTGTATTGATTTGGGATTGGATTTCTATTCATTTTTTTTGAAAAACAAAAACGTGAAAAAGTAGAAAATAATATTTTTTTAAGATTTTCTTTTCAGATTTAAGATAAAAGGAAATATTAATTTTTTTAGGTAATTTTTATGAAACGGTCATAAATAATTTTTGGGAAAAATCATTAAAAAAATATTTATATATATATTTCATTAACTAAAAGGAAATATTAATTTTGTTAGGTAATTAAAATCATTATCCCTAGATTTTAGGAAATCATTAATTAATATTTATATAAAGTTACTAATATACCCTTATAAAATGATTGGTCCAGAACTGTTCTCGCGTTCTCAACCTTTTAGGTGTTCTCATTTGATCCTCTCCCTATATATATATATATATATATATATATATATATATATATATATAATATCTATATATATATATATATAATATATATATATATTATCAGTGTTGTAAAAATCGGCCTAGGCATCCGATTAATCGGCGCCTAGGCACTTGGCGGCCTCCACCCGCCTACGAATAAGGGTTAGAGGGTAAAATAATCGGCCTTGGTCAATATCGGTCAAAACCGGTCCAAATCGGTCCTAATCGGACCAACTCAGACTCCAAATCAGACCAAATTGACTCGGCTAACTCTAAAAGACCCACCAGCTCAAAGGAGCCGGCTAGCCAAAGCTTAGCTGGGTTTGAGTCTTAAAGGAGCTAGCTCCTTTTTTATAGAATAACTTTTGCATTCATCTGTTATCCCACCAACGATGTGGGATGAACTTTTAATTGTTTCATATATCTTTTATGCATCTCTTTCTTCCCCACTTTGCATCTCCTTCCCCACCTTTCTCTCTCGATCGAACCTCCTTTCTCTCTCGATCGAACAACCGCACTGCTATCCGGGAACATTCTGATTGAAATCGACTCATATTCACCTTCAATTCAAACTCATTCCTATCTCTCTCGCAGGCTCGCTAGTCACCGATTGCTGACCGATTGGAGAATCATATCACTGATTGCAGAATCATATCACTGATTGCAGAATCGCAGACACACAGTCGACACCAACCTTGTTTTCCCGTCGACACCAAGTGTTCGTTTTCCTGATTATGTAAGATTATTTGGTTTTCAATTTCTTAATCTCGTGCTATAGAATTCAGTTGAGTTCAGGGATATGTATGTACATATGTTACCAGATTGAATCTTGTTGAATAGAAACAATGTTAGAATCTTGTTGTTGCAATAACTCGTGATTATGTATGTATGTAAGTTACTTCCAAGATCCTTGTTGTTTCTGGTTGTAACAGGTAGGGCAGAAGTGCTAGTGATGCTGGTTTGCGTATGAAACCATCTGCCCACCAAGTGTTCGATCAATTGCCCGAGTGAATCTTGTAGTCTTGATTATCAAATAGTCTCGATTATCAAATCAAGGTGTTGGTATTCATGGACCAGTCATCTCTTCTTGTCCGATCAACATACCATGAAAGGGGAGGAGTGAACGAAAGCATAAAAACATCATCCGAATTTATTCAATTCTCATGTTCCAGGGGTGTTCTTGCTGCTTCATGTTCTACAAAGTGATTTCTTTAATTGAGTAATATGGTTCGTGTTCAAAACTTATTGGCTGTAGTGATGTACCATTTGGATGCTATTC